GCTACAAATACAGTATAGCTAAGCTTGTGATTTAAAAGATGGTAGCTAATAGTTTTTTTAACCCCATTTATAAATTCCAAGAATGTGTTTATTTAATTCGAATAAAAACATTAAATAAAGAATGTAAAATCACTTGTAGTAAATAAAAAGTCAAGAAGTACATTAACGCAAAACTACGTTGGCATTCCGTAAGCTCAAATAAGTTTGCTCGGCGCTGGGCGGAAGTTGTTGAATTGCCTGATAAATTTCGGCATTATGATACCTCAAGTTTGTTTTTGGGTCTTTATAAAATGCCTATAGAATATCACAATTATTTTAAGAGTTAACAAAAGTAAAATCAAGCACAATTCTCTGAATCAAAATAGTAATAATAAACTAATTATTTCAATACTTTAATCAAACAGAATATCAGTTATAAAACTAGCATAAAGATACTTACATGCAATCCTGTTATATCACAGTATTTTTTATTCGGCTTTAAAGACGGCGCTTGGGCAATAGACCAAACTTCAAATAAAATTATATAAACATTAAAATAATTATTGAGTATTTATAGTATGATGCTTACACGTCGGGAAATCATTAGGCCACTCCTTTGCTTTTTCTGCAGCAATATGTTGTCTAGTTGGCTTGATTCTTTTACTATTTTTATATTTTGCCTTTTTAAAAGGCTTTTCAACCTCAAGCAGGTTATATACTACAGTGTGATCAGGAGGTGTTGGAAATTCATCGCTGTCTTCTGCATCGGTAGCTTTATATCCGTTATTCTACGATTCAATAGTGTAAACATAGAGTTACAGTTAAAGTAAAGTGCTAATATATGCGATTCGAAAATATAAACGTAAAATAAAGCCAGGGCGTAGGCTATAAGAAAACAATAACCCTCGCTTAAATTTTGAGTATATGTCATACCTTGAACGGATTTGTTTTTTTTCTTTTTGGTAATGAGCTGAATAGATTAAAGAGTGTTAAAAAAAATTGTACAATTAAAGAGATAGATTAAGATGAAACTAACCTCATTTTATATTATGTGTTTTTATAAATTGAGTTAAATCCAATAAAAAATATTTGGTTGAGCAGTGAGCAAGAATGTAGTCAAATAAACGGTGCTCCCTATTCAGTGAAGTTATTATTTAACTTTGTATTGAATTTATTGAGGGAAAAAAACAGCTTAAAATACAATTAATAACTTTTAAATGATTTATTTAAAAACTAAGACAACAAAAATATGTTTTACTATGCAGAGCCAGAAAAGTATATGCAAAAAATACAATTCTAGAAGATAAATTGTGTTTAGCAGACTAAATTGTCTTTATTTTATTTGACAAATAAACCGTTAGCATGCAATTTAAAAAAAAATAATGACTCCACAACGGGGAATTGAACCCCGGCCACGACGGTGAGAGCGTCGGATCCTAGCCACTAGACCATTGCGGAAAGTCATGCGTCAGCCGGGAGTCGAACCCGGGCCAATTGCTTGGAAGGCAACTATTCTACCGCTATACTACTAACGCTTATGATAACTGTGAGATTCGAACTCACGCCTCTTACGAGACCGCAACTTGAGTGCGGCGCCTTAGACCGCTCGGCCAAGTTACCATTGATTTCTCTACTTTTGTATGCATTATCAATCTTGATTATTTGTTTACCTTTTTCCTTGTTATTTTGTCTAAATACTTTTATAAACTTTTTGTAATTTATAGTTATATTTTCTTTTCTTTTTTGATTAATTTTTTTTTGTCAGTATAAAAAAATATATATATATTTTTAATTTTTTTCTTTTCGTTTAATTGGTCGTTAGAATAAACATCTATGTGCGATAAAAACTAACTCCAATGAAACTATCATTATTAACTTATAATCCCAATGGTGAATTCAATTGGCCTAAATTCACTTGCTGAGAATTTCACTTGGCGAAATTAACATATAATATTCAAAACAAGTTGTTGACCAATTTTTTTTTATAATTTAATTTTGATAAACAAAACAAGGTTATTAGATCTAATTTCTTTTAATGAAAGTATTATTATTATTGTATCGTTTATATTATCTAGTTAACTTTAATACAATTAGTAGTAAAAACTTTGGTAAAAAGCAATCCAAACATATAAACCCGTTGCCTAAGAATATTAAGCAGCAATAAGTGTATCATAGTCGTAGTATAAATACGAAGATTTTCACAAATGGAAACGGCTTTTTTTTCGGAAAAGACGTTCAATAAAAACCACATAACACATGTAAAAAGATAAAGAATTTAATAAAACAAATTGGTAAAGGCAGAGCAAATAAATTAGTATCTAAAAAA